ACACGCGGTGAACGCATTGATACGACTGTCCAGAGAGCACCCAAAACAGATCACTTTGTTTGCTTTGGGACCCCTCACCAACATAGCACTGGCCTATCATTTGGATAACAAATTGTTTGACAATTTGAAGCAAATCGTGTTTATGGGCGGAACTCTTGATTTTGCCGGAAATTCAGATCCAATGAAAACTTTTAATATCGTGAGTGATGTGGAGGCCTGTCGTATAGTACTGTCCACTGATAAATGTCCTCTTACTGTCGTACCTGAAGAATGCTGTAGAAGTAATATACTGACCTGGGTATTCAATTATTGAGTTACTATTGATATTATATATATAAATCTATTAATACCGTAAGTGGTTTTTAGGATATTTACGACAAAATATCAAAATTGGATTCAAAGAAAGCAAAGTTTGCGAAACAGATAATGGAAATGGAGTACAAGAGGGTTAGGCCCCGTAAGAATTGATACAAATAATAATATTGATAATTAATTGAAAACTTTAATTCATGATTACTCTAACAATTAATATCTTAATTTCCAGAACCGGGAGCTAAAGGGTTCATAATGTTTGATATACTGGTAGTAATGGCAGTCGTATACCAGGACTACATTGAATCCCAACAGGAATATAAGACATCGATTGAATTGAACGGAACCCTCACGAGAGGGGAACTGGTGTTTGATAAGAGAACGCCGGGACCTGATGTTAAACCCATGGACTGGACTTCGGTTATGTTTATCAAACACTTTAAAGATTCAAAGTTTTCACAACTTTTACTTCATTTTATGAAATAATATATCAATTATTATGACATTATTATGACATTTAATACAAGAATAATTAAAATTGTAATGAAGTTTTAATATTTATTGTATTAAAATGATCTCTACTAAGTTATTTCAATAAAAATTCTATATTTTTATTTTGTGTTTTCATATTACTGTAATTTGTTATTGAGACTATTTATAATTGTAATTATAATTGCCATCAAAATGGATATCAATTCAAATGTGAACTCAATTAACACATAATTTATATCGAAATTAAGTTTATTATCAAAACTAAAAGCATTTAATACGCATTTGTGTGAAACAGACACTCAATTGAATGATAAGTCATTGATTGTAATATTGGAGACAATAATGAAATGAATGTCAAAACAGATGACTTAATAAATTGTCTCAAATTATTGACAATTAACGCCACAAATAAATTTAATAACTAATTGGGATCTAATGAAACACAAACGCATTCATATGGGAGACAAACCATATGATGCCGAGGATTGTGGTCAACGATTTTCAGACAATTCTGGTCTTTGGTATCACAGAAATAGTGTTCACTTAAAAACTTAAGAGATTTGTTTGCAATGAAGAGAATTGCGGACAAAATTTGAGCCGAAAATCACAACTAATTCAACACAAAGACATTCATTTGACAAACACTTAATCATTCATTCATTTCTCAATTACTGACTAATTTATGAAAACTCTATTTAATCCCAGATTTGAATGACTGTACGGATAAGTCATTTTGTGATAACATTTATCATAAAGTAATTGACATTTATTGTTCTCATACCGATAGTTATAAATTACTATTAAAATGTCATTAAATTAAAACTTAATGTAAGCTTAAAAACGTGAAACAAATTCAATGTGTGTTGAAAACTTTTGCTTCAAAACTACTTAATGTCGTAATTATTGTACGGAATGTGAAAAACCAAACAAAAAAGTTTTGCACAAATATTCGATGCAATCGATCATCGATTTGAACGTAAACTTCAAAAGTGTTGTCAAAAATCAAAGCCTCCAACGAATGCCACAATCAATGATCACCTGAAGTCTGGTCCACAACGCCTACCACACCATCCTATCACCACAACTGGTCCGCCAATCATCGCATGCGTGCCGGCGATCGACCACCAAATGGATGTCAACAGCAATGATGTGCTCATAGAGGAGACGCTGTCCGCCAAACAACGTCTTCGGGAAGTGATGCGCGAGAACTCCGAGATGAAGGAACTGATCCTCTTCTTGGACGACGAGCGCAATTACGCCAAACTCGTGGTCAAGGAGTTCAACGCCAAACAGCTCAAGACGTGGAACCAAATGAAGTGTAAACTCAATCTTCTGGAGCAGAAGCAGTTTGAGCTGATCCGCGAGAACTACTCACTTAAACAAGTATGTCTCAAGTGGTTATCATCCATTGTCATGCAGTGGTGTCTGTGTAGAGGTGGCCACCCCTCACCCCTCCCTCCGCTCTATCCTATCGCCAAATGTTATGTATTTCTCTCACCACAGAGTCTACCGTTTCATGTCTTAGACATGTCTGCGGTATTTGTGGTCAAAGATCTGATAAGTTATCGATTTTTATACTATATTTGTGTCCATCTTATGGACACAACACTCACTTTCACCGGCTTTTAGCCAATTGTTTGCTAAATACACCCAAACTTCTCACTATAACATACCCGCCCTCTTATACCTGTCCTTTATTTACTCGCTTTTATAGACTATTTTTAGGCATTTAATTATTTATGACTTTTTAAACTACTTTTTAAGTTATTATTAGTGTTGCCATGTTCATTTCTAAAATGCTTTATTTGTTTATTTGTTATATTTATTGTTATTTAATTTGAGTTATGTTTTGTGCCTTTAATTACTAAAACATTTACGGTATAAGTGAACCGTTAGTTCAATGCTTATAATGATTAGTTAGTTTGATTTTATTGTTAGTTTTAGTTATTTCTAAACTTTTAATTGAGATAATTATTTAAAAGCACAATAATTTACGTATAAATAGTAAAAAGTAACAAAAAAAGCAAAAAGAGTCTGAGGTCCTACCGAGACTCGAACTCGGATCGCTGGATTCAGAGTCCAGAGTGCTGACCATTACACCATAGAACCCACATACTGGCGCTCACTTACTCATCCCTTTTCAAGCACTACAGTGTTTCTCATGTATTAATAGCTGAACAGTTCAGAAGTGAATAAACTTTTTAAAACGCTTTTCAAGTTTGAAAAAAGTTTTCAAGTTTTGTATTGATTTTAAATTCCGATCACAAATGCAATGAACCATAAGATGACTGCATGTTTGCCTTATTCTGTGTGTGTGCTGTCGGTGCGCACCCATACCTCCCAGACATCGCTTTCATTGATATAATATTTACTTAACTTTTATTTGTATTAACACTTGATTTATAGTAAAACTTTTTATGACTAGTTATGCGTGTTGTTGGACACGAACAGCGGCACCGGTAGCTCAACGCCCACAATGATGACGCCGACCAGTATGTCGAGGGGCGGGTCGACCGCCGCCTTCTGTCAGTACATCTCATACCTGGAGAGTGAGCTGCGGTCGAGAGGTGTGGACATCGCGCGACCCAAACACGTGTCGGACGCCCTTCGGGTGAACGCCATCCGCGAGTCGATCGTCGACTCCGGCGACGAGAAGTCCATCATTGAGTCCCTGAGCGACACCGCCATCAAGACACTCATGAATCGATGATAACGCGGATTAGGATTATATTGATTAGCATTTAATCTAATGTTTTATTTAATACTTGAAGAGAAATTGTATTTTTGTGTCAAATATTGAGTGAACCTTTTTGGGACTGATTTTGTCTGTTGTTTGTGTGGTTAGGGCTCAGGTCTGGTGTGTATGTGTTTGATTTATATGAAGGCAACCGATGATTGTATTGGAAATGTTGTGCCTTTTTTCGTTTGGATACAAATCTACTTAAATACCTACCATTCCATTGATTATGAATTCCATTTACAGTAATCCATATTTACAAGACATTTATTTTTTGATATGCATTTTATGATAAATATATTTATTATTGAATTTTTGTATTACTTTTACATATTATAAGACAACGATTGATATCGTATTATGTTTTGACTTTTTTTTGATAATTGTTATCAAATTTTAATGTTTTTGTTGTAACATATTTTTTCTGTGTTTTATATCTCAATGATTATAAATTTTTTGATGAATAAATGAATATTTTAAATATAAATCTTCATATTCCTGATAATTAATATTTTTATCATTATTTTCGCATAAGGCTTAATACAAGTGAATATTAAGCAGTTTTTTGGCATTGAATCTAGTTAGAAATCTTAAAGGCTAGATATAATCATAAAAAGGCTACTTATCCCGCAAAAAGGCTTTTTAATGTTTTTTGCTTGCAGTGCATAAAAATTATTTTTCATTTTACTGAAACAGCTGTGCGTTGACTATGAATGAAGTGATAATTAATTAATTTCTAGTGTTTATAAAAGTTATGTTAAAATAGTTTTAATTAGTCTCACGATAGTAATAACTGATCGATTGCATTATACGGCAGTTATCTAATAGTATGGTTCTATGGTGTAATGGTAAGCACTCTGGACTTTGAATCCAGCGATCCGAGTTCGAGTCTCGGTAGAACCTGGGA